CTCACTTGTTTTATTATTCCTTTGAAGCAGGTAATTTCCAGTAGGGGAGAAAAGAGACAACTTGCACATAACGAAGTTTCTCTGTGTATTCAATAAACAACTTGTCATTTTTGTTTATTCCAAGATAATTTTCTCTTGCAGGATCAAAGACTAAGTGGTTGCACAAAAAACTTTATCTTAAAGCAGCACAGAAATATATTTCAATTTATTGATTGTTGTATTGAAATTGCAACACGATAGGGTTTCTTTCGGAGTGCCTCAAAGTCTTTGTAAAGAAAACGAGGGAGGTAGAGTTGCCATAATACAATACTCACACATTTAAACGTGAAAGGAATGATCAAAATGCAGAACAAACGAATTTACAAAGTCGATTCCGTATACTGAATCTATAGCATGAATAATTGATGAAAAGCCTCCAAGTCATTATGTTACATGTTTTGTTATTTTTGTCAACTTGCGATGCAATTACTCGAAGAAATTTGGCCGTTTATTTATAAATCGGTGAATGCTGCAACGTCTTGCCGGACCTAACAACTTCAATCTGCAGGAGTTAATAGACGTGGACCGACCCTTCTTTCATTCTGAACCGCCCCTGTTAGCAGTCGAGCCGATACAGGGGTAGAAATACGACGCTAGGGTCAGATTACCCACCTGCAGCCCTTATTTATTACAGCCCACACGTTAGCGATGGGAGCACCACGTCTAGCCATCGCTACCAATTCTTGGAAAAGTTTTGCACGAAAAAGAAAGACCTACAACCGCAATAGTGAGCTTTACGAGTTTTCTTTGTTGCTGAAGTTGTAATAAAGGAAATATGTTGTGAAGGATCAGTTGGAAAAGCATGTCATGATACAGCATTTCTCTTAATTATTATTAAAGATATTGAAGTATCAGTTGTAGCTTCATGTGAAATATCTTTCTCAATCTGCGCAAAATGATTTCCTCCGTTTCCTTTTCTTTTAATGAGAACATACTTTTCTTCTTGTGCTTGATGAGCTACGTTTGTAGTTTTTAAATATACCATTACTCTAATACATGTGAAGTAGCAGGAAAAATTAGTTTAGGTTCAAAAAAGGGATAAAACGTTCTTGAATCAATCTTTAAAAATCATATTTTTCTACAATAATAAAAAACTTGAATTTTTCACATTGAAATCAATACGCGAAATTGGTCATTTGTTGTTAAGTCCACAGGACAATATTTCTTTTAAAATAGAGAATTAAGAGTGCCGAAAATCAATAAAATTTTTGGCAAGAATCAAAAAATAATTCAAATAAGAGAGCGAGCTTTATAACATGTGCACACATTTTTAATAAGTATATAAGAGAAAGAGAGAGCGTATAAACACTTAAGAGCAAATAAGAGAAAGAGAAAGCGCACCAACGCATAAGAGCAAATATTTGCTTTCATATGAGAGCAAAGCATAAGAAAGAAAAAGAGTAAAAGAAAAAAACAAAAAAGCTTTTTTATCGTTACCCTGAATATTTTGATTTTTCTAAGAAAAATTGAAATACTAATAATTCAAATAAGTTTCAAAAGATGTCGTCTAAAAGGGCTTTAAAATATGTGCACATAACTCACGGTGTAAGATTTTTAGATATGCGGGCCATTCGTTCTCGAAAGTCCGCCTAATAATGTGAGGTGGTTACGAGTACTTCAGCAATTTTATATTGTTCTAATACATGTTTATACATTTTGAAATAGAAAGAAAATGTTGTGTGCCCAATTTTAAAAGTGGCTATGCTAAAAATAATGAAAAATTATCTTTATTTCCGTTACCTACCACGGAAAATGTTGCCTAATCGTATAATTCCGAAAAGACTCTATTTTCACTGTAAAGGATCATGTGTGTAAAAAACATTTTAAAGCAAAACATATAATTCGTGAAATAAAAACTGGCTGTTATACGGTAAATCTAAAGAAAATTAATTAAAATTATAACTACCATAAAACATAATTTTTCTAGAATGAAACAGCTTATTATCCAAATTTTGTCAAATTTTATCTCAAAAAACCAAAATTAGAAGAAGAAGCAGTACTATTTTTCCAGATTGTCCAGGATATTATTAAATTTGAACCACAAGTTAAACGAAGCAGAAAAGCAAAAAGAACTGGAAAAGCAACTCTAAATTTAGATTTTTTTGATTGCTGTTTTTAATAATTATCTATAAATAATAGTAATCTACTTATTTATTTTAGTAGTGAAATCAAATATAGCTGAAGTAAATAGCAAACAAAATTTATTTGAAATATTTTTAAATAAGAATAAAGGTTTATTACCTTCTGTTTATTTATTTACCTTCTAGTCTGTGGTCTTTACATTCAATTCCGAATGGTGACAATTTTGGTTTAATAATTATAAAATAAAGTTCAGTTCAAAGTAACGTCATTTAAAAAAGTAGTAATCGACGCAAGGTGTGTGAAATGAACTCTTATATATTTAATCTCTCTGATTTAATTTTTCTCTGGATACATAATTAACTACAGTCCAAAAACTGAATTAATTAATAATAAATTTTTGATAAATTAATGGTGTGTTACGGCAGTTTTACAATTCCTAATAATTTTTAATTTAGAATTAAATTTTACTTAGGGTCAGTTTCATGATCAAATTAAAAAGACTTTAAAGTCAATGTTGATTTAGAATGTGAAATTTTGCTCAAGAAGTCCGTAGTAATTAGTATATTCTAAACAACATTTAATTTAATGCTCCTTTAAATTCGATTATGCAACTGGCCCTTAGAATATTATGCTCCTACGAAATATGTAGGTATTTATGTTCTTGAAAAAATCTTTGTCCTCGATAATCCGTTTCATAAAATTACCTTATTTAAAAAGAATTATTTTTAATTAAATACTGATTTATTCAATTATTTAATATACTTACTAATTTACTAATTATTTAATATAATAACTGTTTTCAAGTAGAATTCAATATGTATTTGTTTTACATTTCGCACCAGAAACACATGTAATAAAAATAAGTTCAAGCAAAGCTTTATCATTTAGATAATATTTCTTATAGAATTTAAATTCACATGTATAGGTAGTAGGTATATGACGTGTATTTTTTATATGACCTTGTATTAAAAAAAATATAACAACTGCAACTTCTTGGTTCATTCCTTCATTTATTGTTGATCGTAATGATGTCCTGATTACGCCATCTCTTTCTAAATGGAGCGTGACTGGTTTGGCCACACGCTTGCAGAGCTCGCTGCATCACCTAAATATCTTACACCGTGCTTTTACTCAATTTCTACCTTTTGCCGTCTTCTGTTTTTAGTGCTTCCAAATTGAATACATAATTCATATTAAAATTTTTATAGATTATATATTTCATACTCATGTTCATGTAGGATGAATAATGCGGAAAATGATAAGACTACATGTATTGATGTTTTAGTTTTATTCTTGTCACAAAATTGCATCATCAATTTTTCCATGTTTGAAAAAGTTTCAGTGATAAAATTGTAAAAATAATGCACCGATCATCGTTTTTAAATTTTAATAAAATTATAAGACAAGAATACTTAAAAAAATAATTGAAAATTATTCGATCACCTTGTGAATAACGATCTCTACCAAAATTTAATTTATTATAAGCGATAACGCCGAAGGGTGTGTTTCTATAAAACTGAATTGTGCGTCTAAAATTACTTCGATTTAAGAAATAACAAAATATGAAAGACATAACCACAAAGTTTATCGATTAAGTGAAGTAAATTGGTGAAACGAAGGATGTTAAAAGTAGATTGAAAACAAAAAACGGCGTCAATTTCACTCATCAATTCGAGCAGAAAAATCAAACGAAAGGTAAACTTGAGAGCTTGTATTACAACAAAAGTCCTTTATCCTACCATTGTTATAAATTAAATTTGTTTTATGTTGTACTCCGATTGGGTTTTGTAATTAAAAATGTTTGCACAAAGAAAAAAAATGGGCTCGTCCGGGATTTGAACCCGGGACCTCCCGCACCCTAAGCGGAAATCATACCCCTAGACCAACGAGCCAGCTGTCAAATTACTTCAAATAAAACAATATAACTCTAATTTTGACATTTCATTATGTTCATTAAATGTTGATGTTGTAATCAAGAAAAAACCAGTTTCAATATCCGCTTATTTACGTTTCAGTAAGAAAGTTACTGTAGAGAATTAGATAATTAACTAAGCAATATGATGCGTACTGGGCCATCTTAAAAAAAATTAACTGTTCATAATCAAACAGTAGGTACTATGTATAAGTACTTATAATGGTTATTTTTTTGTTAGCTACGTGATTTAAATTTGGAAGTATATAATGTATAATTATTTTAATTTTTTCTTGAAACTCCATTTCTCATTAACCTGCATATTTTTTGTTCACTACAAAATAAGAAAATAGTCTGAAAACATTAAAATGTAAACCCAGAGAGTTGTTTGTGCGATATTTATCTTCTGGAGACTCTATTATGCATTTGAATAGACGTTAAAAAGCTCGCAAGAAGCTTCCATAACTGTTGTTTTGAAACAGCGTATTACAGTGTACAATACAATTTATACAATTTTGCTTCAGAAAATCTTACAAAGCTTATTTTTAACTAAAATCTAAAATTAATGTTGCTAAATAAATAATTTTTGTATTATTTACATTAAACCGGAAATTTCGCAGAGCTTATTTGTTGAATGTTGAACCTACGCAAATATGTTTCTTAAATAAACATGTTGTAATTTATTGCCCTAAGGAAACTATCCAACTTGTTAAATATAGAGTCCAATTTGTAAAAATAGTTTTTTAAACTAACTCTATCGACTTGTGCCACTAAAAGTTAAAAAATTCGTGTTGATGGCACTAATTAATAGCTATGCATTGTAAATAAAACCTCAGTTTTTTTTTAATTGTCACATGCAGATAAAATTAAATCTAATTCATCCGACTAACGCAATTCATTATTAATAATCGGCGTTATAAGTTATTCGAATTTCCGTGACCTACCCCCATACCCTCTTTAAACTCACCCTGTTCACATCGGTCGCCGCCCCTGCCTAACGGACACAAGCATGCAGGTTCCTCATTTGAATTTCTAACTACACAACCGCCCCCAGGCCCGCAGTCCAGAGGACACGGTCGCTCAGTTGAAATCGGTAGAGTGGCTCTGGGAACCCCCGATATTTCCGTCAGCTTTTGCTCTAAGCTAGGACCCTGTGTGGTGCTTGATGGGCTCGTTAAGTTACTCGTTTCGGTTGAAACATTCGAAATTAGTTCCAGAGCGTCAAAGACGGCGTCTTTCTGGTACAGCACGTCCTCTTCTTCTTGAATGGGAGATTTCAAGTCGTCGGAAGTTGCCGGAGAGGCCGTTGAGTTTATCTCTAGATAAACAACAAAGTTCGTTAGCATTTGTTTAAACTGGATAAACTAATTGTATTTTGTGTTACTTGCACGGGTTTGGACGCTTGAAGCAATAAATAAGCCGTCTGTTTTGTGGCCGTGTTTATGCAAAGCCGATAACACCGAGGAAAAATAAACGGAAAGCTATATAAAGGTGGATGGTAGCGATTTTTTATTTAAACGATTTCACTGCTGGAAATATATTATCAAGTTGTCTGATTTTTTATATGAAAAGTTGCAAACATGTTTATCAGGTGCGAGAGTATAAAATCGTATTGATTACATTTCACAAAATTCACAGTTCTGTTAAAAAGTTTTATTTAAAAAAAAAAACAAAAAAAATGAAAGCATGTTCAGATAGTTGTACCCACTTAATAAAAAATTAGAAACTTTATTATTTTGAAATGAATAGGATTTAAAAACAAACCATAAAACGAAACTTCAATTTGTCTTCTGAGATAAATCTTGCAGATGTGGTGCTTAAATAACGACACCCTTAAATCGTGTAATTGTTCTAATGAAACCACAGATCGAACAGACTTAGACAATTACAAGTATTTACTGCAGTAGGTAGATATTATGATGGTATGCACCAATTAATATTAGAATCCTCTTTCAAAGTTTCCTTCCCAAAACAAGAACTAACAACCTCCTTTCCAGAATTCCCTGCCTATATGTTAATAACTTTCTGTAAAGTTTGAAAATGAGCTTTTCTGACAGTGGGAGTTTTCGATAAAATACAGAAAGTTTGGCCATTAAGTGTGTTTTAACAAATTTTTGTCTTCCATTAACGCTGTTAGTGATAAGCTGATAAGTAAGGTGATTTTTACTTTTGTTAATTTTAATTATTACAAAACTTTTACATTCGAAGTAATGGTTTTTTCTTAAAAGTGCGCATATTCTTGTATGTGTGTTTTTGTTCACAATTTTACGTCTTATTTTGTGAAAATATATTGATTACCTATCAGTATTAATAATCAACATTAATGACTGTATTTTGAAAGTACGTATAAAAAATAACAATCATAAGTTTATTCTAGAAGTAGTAATTGAAGAGTCTTTAAGGTCAAAGGATTAGAAAGACAAGTTCAAACCCTAGAGCATGTTGCTAAAGAATGTTATACCCACAACAACTTATGTTAAGTTGACGAAAACTGCTTGAGGGAGTTTTAGAATTGATAATACAAGTGCATGGCCAAAATAGAAAACACAACTTGTGGAAACTTGTCCGCCTTTGATATTAGGTACTTATGAAATTGTCAGTTCAATTTCATTGTATAAATTGTGTAATGGAGAAAATTTCATATAATTTTGTTCAATCACACTAACACTTTATAATAATTTGATATTTTATTGTTGTATTTTGTATTTTGAACAAACGCAATATATTTGGAATTTTTATTAACAGCAACTTCCTATCTACATACATTTTATGCACAAAACTTTACTTGCGAAGCTTAAATGAAACTTTACATAAAAGTGCACTGCAGAGGTTGGAATACACAATGGTATAGATTATACAGAGTATCCGGAAGAACACGTTGAAAGAATTCGAGGGGTGGTTGCTTAGGCTTAGAAAAAAAGCTCCTGTGGACCTAAGCCCGGAAACGCTTCATTTAGTGATACCAAAAAAAATATACCTTAATTAGGAGCAGAAGATACTAGGGTCAATCTATTTAAGGCGTACAATTTTGCTTTGAAAAATTTTTTTTTAATTTTTTTGGCAGATTCGAATTTATTGGCTAATTTTCTTCTTTTTCTACGGTGCACCGTTTTCAAGAAAAAAAGAGTTTTTTCTTAACGTACAACCATTTTAATTTCGAAAAGCAATCCATGTAATGAGTTTGGGTTTTTTTTTCTTATACTATAAGCTAACAAATTACCCTTAGAAATCTTTTAAGGTTTTTCCGAACATCTGTACCTACATAGTTTGAAGGAATTTAAAACAAAAAGTAAAAATTAACCTTATATTTGAGAAAACTTAAATAACAAAAGTTTGGACCCCTTATTACAACTTTACATTCATAATTTAAAATTTAAATGTATATAAGTAGGATCAATCACTGAGTATATAAGTTCAAGAAGTTTCAAACTCTACATATTGCGTTGTTTCTTACCATATACTTAAATTATCAAAATTGTATTATTAAATTATCAAAATTGTATTATTAAATTATCCAAATACATTTACTACCTGTTTATGATAAAGAATGTGTAACACCAAACTTTGTAAGATGCTAAACAAACATAAACTTCTATTTTGCACCACGTTTCAAGTTTCAAGAGCTGAATCAAGCTTTAAAATTTTTTGCTCGAAACTTCAAAGTTTGCACAGTAAATTCAGATATTATTGCTGTCGTAAATACGACTTAGTGCAACGCATCTTATTAATTAAAACTTCAACAATAATTTAAAACTTTCCAGAACAAACCCCTCAAACAAATAAATCGCACCCGTTCAAATAGTCTGCGACATGATGTTCGTGGCATTACATGTCTCTCAATGAAAGCAAAACGAATAATAGTCTTTCTTACATTATTTCCGGGAGAGTAGAGACCAACCGACCGGATTCTACGTGCACGTTTTGTTTAAAGTTTAATTTTTCATACTCGGCAAATGCCACACGTACCATATAATTCCAAGAAAAAGACACTTACCATAGCAACTGTAGCCGTCTGCCCGGAGTATAAAGCCGGATTTGCAATCGCACTCGTACATGCCATCATGCAGGTCGTAGCACAGCTGTTCACAAGGACTTCCGCGGTTACAGCGTCCTGAAACAGAAACAGGACGATTACGCTAACATTCTACAAGCCAAAGTGTGGCAATGCCATCAGGATAATGCGTCTCAACGTCAAGACACTTGCAGCTAAGCGTATTATCCTCGATTCTTCAAGCCTTTTACAGCAATTAGACACCAAAGGCGGCACTTTTTTACCAAGACTGAGAAGTTCAAAGCTAGTGCTGTATAGCTTATTTAACACGGAACTTTTCAATCATTCACTAAAACTGTAAACTTGTTTAAACAGTGCAATAAAAAAATTAAATCAGAGTAGCAATTCTCATTTCTCTAGAATAATGGCGTTTTATGTTTGTACTTTATTTTACGCGATTTTTGCGACGCAACCGTATTTGTCATTCATTTAGTAGTAAAGAAGATAGATATAGCTTCTAACATATGTCGACTCTAGACTCTACTCATTTAATCTTTATTAAAAAACTTTTGTTGTCAACTGTAACAAGTTTTCGTTCGTTAACAATTTTTTTTTTAATTAGCAACGAATTTTTACCGACAAAAAATTGTCTACACCTTTTATCTTTGAAAAGTAGGACATTGTAAAACCTACCTGCTTTTCACAGTTAATTATCACTCACCCCCTTGCAAGTCATCTTTTGTCAAAATTGAGTATTATAAACGCGACTTTGAGCTCATTAATTAAGGAGATTAATGATGATGATAAAAAACAGTCGGTGGGTGGAGGTACAAGAACAATAATAATTAAACTTAATACACTTTTGCTTTCGTGTAAATTAGAAGTACCTCATTTTTTATGCCCTGAAATCCTGAAAGTTCATATTTAATCAAACTCGTACCTAGATATTAAAATCTCATTTGTTGATACTATTTTAAATACAAACAAAGGGAGCAGAAGTGAACAGTTGGTGTTATAATTGTTTTTATATCCACAGGGGTACATAATAAAATAAATATTCGTATAACGATTGTTAGGTGTAATTTGAACAGGGAAGAATAGAATCGCATAAGCTACCCCGGCGCGCTTTTTAACTTTCCAATGATATGGTGTATGTAAATGAGGCAGGGATCTGTATTTATTAAAAGGTCCCAGATTAATTAGGGAAGTTTTATTCCGTTGCGCTCTAGATCGCCAGAATTTTGAAGATAAACTGATATTTTTTCTCTAACTACGTTAATATTTGGAAAAAATTATTGCAATGTCTACGATTCCATAATAAGAATACCTACTTTAATAATACAATAACACTTTTACTGCATCATAAAAAATAAATGGGACGTGTGTTGTATCATACATCACGAACTTTAACACCGCGAGTAAAATTTGAATTTGGTTCGTGTCACGTACAGACTATATTCAAAAAGTTGGAGACAAATGATGCTGATTTTAGATCAGGATTTATTCGTTTTATATGAAAAACCAGTTTGGACTTTTATGATGTTAATCAAAATAATCATGTTTGGGGGAGTGGCTTTTTGCACATAAATAGAATAAAACAAATTGTGTTTGGGTTATTTCGACTAGAGTTTTGGTGTAGGTAAGCGCGGTTAAACTTTATAAATACTTTCTGTCTTTGACCTGGAATAAGCCTTTGATGTTTGTAAAATTATTTTGATTATGTATTTCCACAAACAATAAGGTTAAATTGGTTCCGTTGTAAAAACACTGTAGGATTCATTTTTAGCATTCCTAGTAAATCCTTTACACTTTCTGATGTTTTAACAAACTCCATTTAAATTTTAAATGTTCGCGTAATATTCATAAAATTAACTACGGCAAATACATAACCGTTTTCATAATCTACTATTTGCAAAGGCGAGAGAAAAATTCACATAATAAGGCGGCAAATCCAAATGAATTTTTAAATTACTTCTCACCCCGTCTGGGTTCAAGATAGTATCGCATTACTTGAGAGAATGTAATTCTTTGTTAAATATAAAGTAAATATTTCTTGAGATCCTTCCTGCTTCCGTCACATCGGATTTGTCACTTGCAGGCGCTCTTTTCAACTATGAAAACTGTATACCACTCGTAAGGTTCCATCTTCTAAAGAAATATTATGCAAGGGCGCTATCTTTCGACCATGTCGACGGAAATGAAAATTGTAAATATCTTAAGTGTCAGAAAAGAATACAGAAGAATAAAACAAAGCTTTTCTAAAAACGTCTCATTTAAGGCTTTGCAAATGTTATCAAAATTAAAACTGCTCACTTGTCACGGTACCAAATTAATACTTCGGATATTAACTTCCCAATGACGGCGTCTTATACATATATGAAAGAATTTAATAACAGATGCCGTTGGTGCCTTCAGTAGGTATTAACCCTCCCTCAACATAACGCTTAAGACTAATATAATGCTCCCCTTGGTCTATGCAAACTTAGAACATCCCTCTATTTTCAAATGTATGCCTGTAGATTAAACCCGGATTAGATAAGCAGTAATCTCTGTCGTCACCCTCAGCTATCTTAGATGTGGTGTATGTCAACTTTACCTCATGGAAATTCTAGTGTAATATTCTGGAATAGAAGAGTTTCCTACATTGAGGATCAGAGATTGCATGTGCAATTTATGAATATTAAACACAAATCACACTTCGAATAAAAAGCTCGTAAATGCAATATTTATTAATAGATTAATGTTTAAATTTCAAACGGTATTATTTTACAATGTGAAAAAAAAGTTTTTTTTATTTCAAACTTTTCTAAGCTCCAAGTTTATGCTTTTCTCAAATTGTATCATCATTATTTTACAGACTTAACTTTGAAAGGTTGGATTATAAGATTTTTCCACCCTAAGCATTAATATTTGCGTGAAGACATAAGCTTCCCTTGAGTATTATTTTAAGACGAAAAAATACCATTTCACTCAAAGTCAAAAAGTTTTGTAAGAAACAGAATTTGTGGACGAATTGCTGGAGGAAACTTAGAAAACTTAAAAAACAAATTGTCTAACTACTATTAATTTTCGACATTAAGATTAGGATCAGTACCCCAGAATAAAAGTATACTAAGTCACAAAACCACAAATACGAAATAATACGACTTCGAATTAAAAATTTAAAAATCCATTAGGTACGTTAAGTTAGAGTTAAGAGTTAATATCATTTAAAAATGCCTATCTTCGTAACTATCATAAATAGGATTTAATACTGTTTTACACCAGAAAGCTGGGAATAAATTGTACATAAATCTGTGAAAACCTAGTTTTCAAGAAATTTTTAGTTAGTACATTTTTATTCTGGAGTACAAACTTTAGAGCAAACGTAAGAATCGACGTTGTATTGCATCCTACTAGGGACCGAAAAGGTAAACTAGCTATATCAACAGAGCTGCCTGCTTCTTTTGGTCTCTGCTTCGACTGTTTAGAGAAGATTCGAGAGTTCTAAAAAGACAGAGATTATAAAAATCGCATATACTCGTACTTGTACATATATGCATGCTTGGAAAACAATTTGTGTATAATGTTCCATATCTTACCTACATACCAGTAAAAAATATCCTTCAAAGTAGGAATATAAAACCGATATTCTATTCTAGTAATTCAATTAATTTCTTCAACAAATCTCTAATTTGTTCTAATGTGCTGTCTTTAGTAGGACAATTAACCTCAAACATGTTCAACTGAAATTTATCATACCTATCAATTCTTCTAGAAAACTCATTATACTCAAAAGTGTATTATTTCTAAAGAAATATCACAAACCATTTGTGTATGCGAGTTTAGAAACATTATTTATTCCTGATGGTAGACCTGGAAATAAATCGTAAATCATTCCGTGTGTTTTTCCCTTGTTTGAGCATTCGTCTAATTCCAGAAAGTAGAAGTTATCATAAAATATAAAAGTTCTTAAAATAAAGCTGTTGAAGATGCAATTAATTTTCTTTTTTTTTGGAAACTCCAAACAAACGATTATACCAACCAGATTTTATGAAAAAAGATGGATAATCCAAAACGAAAATTTTATTATTGACAATAATCGTAGCAATTTCAGATGGGCTCTGATAAATATGCGATATATTTTTAACAGTTTGAGAATGAAAGATATAATTTTGCTTCATTAAGTTTATTTCGATTTAATTCTGCTATCCAAACGCATGTTTTGTAGAGAAGTCAAACATACCGGGAAGATATAAAAAGTTTTATATCTAACGATTTTCATATTCTAAAAATGTTCCTTTTTTCTGAATAACACGACGAATTAATTTTTATTACATATAACATTTTGTTCAAGAATTTGTTTAGTTATGACTAAACTTCATGACGTAAACTATTGATTGTGCAACTAAAAACCATTTATTTATATTATGAATTATATAGTAATTATAAAATTTAGTGTTTCGTAATTAGTATTGTATTAGTTTCTCACTACAATTAGAGTGCATTCTAAACAAATCCATATAGTAGTTATGTATGTTGGTAGAATTATAATGTAATGATAACAGTAAGTAGAATTCTCCTACATACATTTGAATATGTTTAATAATTTACCATGTTTTTGGGATATGTCAAATAACATTGTATGTATGTACCAGGTGAATAAAAAGTATGGAACTATACTCTACTCTAAGGATTACAACTATCTGCTTTATTTTTAATTTTTTCAAAAATTTTTTTTCACAAAAATTGCAATTTTGACAAAAAAAAAATCGCATAACTCAAATACAAAACAAAATTTCGTTCTGAAATTACAATCACATTTTTTATATTACTTTAATTTGTATTAATTATTATTTTCCGGAGGCAAATGATTAAAAATAAAACCGCTTGGTTCCATAGTTTATATTCACCTGTATATAGGTACACTATTAGAGAATATTAAAACAGATACAATAATATATGCTGCCTTATACATATGGTTTGATTTTTTGTAAAAGATTAATAAACTTTGTATTATTTCGAGTTTGTTAAGTAGTTACTTAACTAAACAACTAAACAACAAAATAATAATCTAAAATCGTGACTAGTACTATAATGTCTTTACCACACTAATTTCGGTGTTTATTTAAACCATCTAC